ATGAACTCTGCACCTCTTCTTCTGTTTCTAGAAAACCTGCTCTAAACAAGTAATTTTGAGACATTTTTCCATGTTCAATATCTTAGGAGATATTTGAAGCACGTTATTAGAAGCACAAACAAAAACATACTTGCAATGAGAACGTTCGTTTATTTGCATTGGGTTATGTTTGAATACTGGAAAGAGTAGTTGCAAAGAACAGTTGCAGTCACTGAAAAAGAATGAAAAGTCAAAAAGAAATGGTGAACGAACAGTCAAGCAACAAGGAAGCAGTCATTCTCCTTGAGGAATATCAGAGGAGATAATCAGAAACACATGGCTATGGTGAGTACAGATGGAGTCCCCAGATAGCAAAGTTTCCATTCAAGGAGCCCACATTAAGGCAATTTTCCCCATTGTGTCTGCTTGTAATTAATGTGTTCCTGTGTTATGACATATTGAAGTGTTAGATTCCAAAAAACAAACAAAAAAAATCTACTGAGTGATGTATCTCAATGAAGACAACTAAAATCGTCTTCAGTTTATACATTAAATTGAAATAAATTTAAGGCACAACAAATTACCAGCTAAAATTCAAACAACTATGAAATGACAAAAAGTATATGTGCTTAGGGAGTTAAAATGGGAAGAAAAAAAAAGAATGAAAAGTTGGCCAGCAAGAGAGAGAGTACTTCCTTGCTATGGAAAGTTGGCATACACTATACCATGATCTCAATCTGTACTGGAACCAGTGTTAGACATTGAACCAGATCCCAGTCATAAAGATGTGAAGGGAACAGTCAGTCACCCACCTTTAAATATTTGCTACTACAAATATTTAACCCTCTGTGCCTAGGCTGTTATAGCACAAAAGACTGGGACATACTCATGGCTCATTCATGAAAGTATGAAAACGATGATTCAAGAAATAGTCTGTGAGTATCTTTGGTTTCTGAACGTGTATTCCTGCAGACTCCACAGCAGTCATTAAATCAGTTTTTCAAATGTCCTCAGGAGGATTCTTTAAGAATTTTTTTCCTTTTGTAGATTTATAAATCCAGATGCAACTGCCACTTCCTAAATGGGCAGTTTAAAGTTTAAATGTATTATTTTTTAAGCATGTGTCATGTTTTTTTGTTGTTTTTTTTTAAAATATATTTTATTGATTTTTTACAGAGAGGAAGGGAGAGGGACAGAGAGTGAGAAGCATTAATGAGAAAGAAATATCGATCAGATGCCCCCTGAACTCCTCCTACTGGGGATGTGCCTGTAACCAATGTACATGCACATGCCCTTGACTGGGATTGAACCTGGGACCCTTCAGTCAGCAGGCCAACGCTCTATCCACTGAGCCACGCCGGTCAGGGCTAGCATGTGTCATGTTTCTTAGTATTTCTTTAGGTCTGAATAGCTGAAGGGAATTATGATTTTTCCCAGAGAATTGCACAGACACATACACATACATACAACATTTCCATAAAGTGCATAAGCTCGGTAGACAGCTCATACATCCAAATTCTTTCTGGGCTCCATGAACCTCAGGTCAAAGCCAGCTGCTTTAAGTAACTTTAAAAATCACTTAAAGATGGATAAACACAAGTAAGGGAAAGCCCTAGTAGCATGCATATTTTGGTATGCCAATCAAAGTAAAAACAAATCCCCATTTTTTAAAATTTATTATTATTTTTTTTAATCAGAGAGGAAGGGAGGGAGAGAGAGATAAACATCAATGATGAGAGAATTATTGATTGGCTACATCCCACATACCCCCCACTGGGGATCAAGCCTGCAACCTGGGCATGTGCCCTTGACTGGAATTGAACCCAGGACCCTTCAGTCTTCAGGCCGATGGTCTATCCACTGAGCAAAATCAGCCAGGGCAAATCCCAAATTTTATAGATAGAAACAATGCTTCTACAAAAGGCCTAAAAGCTATATTTTAGTCTTAAGAAAAATCTATGTGGTATCTCATCAATATTTTGTTTTTTTTATAATCCTCACTTGAGGATATTTTTTCTTTGCTTTTTCAGACAGTGGTAGGCAGGGAGAGAGGAAAGGAAGGAGGAAGGAAAAGAAAGAGAGGGAGAGAGAGAGAGAGAAAGAGAGAAAAATTGATGTGAGAGAGACATATAGACTAACTGCCTCCCACATATGCCCCAGTGAGTGGAGACAAGGAGTGAACTCACAACCCAGGTTCATGCCCTTGGTGGGAATCGAACCTGAGACCTTTTGGTGGAAGGGCCAATGTTCTAACCACTTGGCAACACCAGCCAAGCTCTCATCAGTCATATATATATATATATATATATATATATATATATATATATATATATTTTTTTTTTTTTTTTTTTTCCAGAGAGGAAGGGAGAGGGAGAGGGAGCAATAGAAACATCAATGATGAGAATCATTGATTGGCTGCCTCCAGCACGGCCCCCACTAGGGATTGAGCCCTTGATTGTGCCCTTGATTCCAGTCAAGGGCACAACCCAGGCATGTGCCCTTGACTGGAATCAAATTAGGACCCTTCAATTCACAGGACAATGTTCTATCCACTAAGCCATACTGGAGAGGGTTAATTATTTTAAAATAAATTTCATAAGTAGCTGTATTTGAGAATAATCTATATGTTGACCCCAAAGACATTTCTTTTTTCAATTAAGCTATTTGAAAGAATATTAATATTTAAAACTGGATTATTATTCAATTCTCTTTGGATCAGATACTATAAGAATAACTAATTTATGTCTGATTTAAACTAACTTCCACATAATATGTTCTCTCTAGCTTTCTTTCTGTATCTACAAAGAATGGCTCTAAACCAATGGCTGGCACAAGTTAAGTTAAAAATAGAGGCACGTGGCAAGTTTTGAAAATTTAGTGTTCATATCTACTGGATTTCTGGACTGGAATTGTGAATTTAGAATACTTTAGGATTAACAATATCAAAATAATAAAATTTTATGGTTAACAAAATAACAAATATCAACAATTTGAAAAAAATCATCATGTGTTTGTAATTTTTTGTGAAGAAAAATTCTAGAGTGAATGTTTTATGCAAGCAGCCAAAAAAATCCAAAGTGAAATGAATTTTTCTGAGACAGCTTAGAAATAACAGTTAACATATGCCTAAGTTACAGACAAAAGCAGGATACATGTAAAAGCAAGTAGGGAGTAAAAAGGACTGTTAACCTAATGAATGAAAACCTTTTTTGTCCAAATTTCTCAGCAAAAATTTTAGGTACTTAAGGAGCAAAACCATTTTTTTTGCTCCTTAAGTACCTAAGAAATTTTTAAAGAAATTATATTTAATAATATTAGAACCAAACAAGAAGTGACTTTTAAAGTCACACTTTACACCAATGATAAGTTTGATGTGCTAAAAAAAAAAAAAAATTACACGAGTTAAGTTAATGCCAGTATAAATAAACAAAAATATACATTCTTCCATTACTTTAGAGCCATGGTCGGCAAACTGCGACTCGCAAGCCACATGTGGCTCTTTGGTCCCTTGAGTGTGGCTCTTTTGCAAAATACCATGGCCTGGGCGAGTCTATTTTGAAGAAGTGGCATTAGAAGAAGTTTAAGTTTTAAAAAATTTGGCTCTGAAAAGAAATTTCAATCATTGTACTTTTGATATTTGGCTCTGTTGACTAATGAGTTTGCCGACTACTGCTTTAGAGTATTTAATAATTGATTCTCACTTGGAGCTGATGTTCATCTAGAAGTGTTTCTAGTTAATTTATTTATCTGCTGTTTTTTGCATAACATATTTCTTGGTCAAGATGCTTCTTGACATTATTGATAAAATATGTCATTCATTTAAAAGTTTTCAAATTTTCTTCATTCTAACCTAATATCATTTTGTATTTCAGTAAGTTCTTAGAGTTGTGCTTTCGCAAATTACTATTAGATCTTTGAACTTATTTTTATTTAGAGCATCAGCCTTGCAGTAGCAACCGGTTAGATGGACTTTGTCAGAATGCTGGCCCAGTGTCGTGCCTGAACATCTGGGAGCATCTTAGCTATCTCACGGGGTTGAGTCCCATGTGAAATCCATAAAGAGTTTTTAAAAACAAGATGTGCTGGAGGTGTTAGCGATAATGGTAAAAGTACTGTTTGGTATTTAACAAGAAATTCTGCTCCAAACAATAACCATGATCATAGAATTTACTGCAGAAATAAGCTGTTAGTTTACAGATTGCTAAATCATCTTTGCTACAATACCTGCTGTGGCATAGAAATCATTGACTTTGCTACTGTGAATTTTGTCTGTGTGTTTTCTTTTTCTTTTCTTTTATTTTTTTAGACTGGACTATTTTAAATATCATTTCACTGACAGGCATAAAGAGGGGTGATATTTTAAAATAGGAATTGGAGCGTTTTCATGTGTCTTGTGTTTTCTCTAACACTTAACAAGTGAGATTAATAAAGTTAATTAGCAGAATATAAGTACAGGATAATCTACATTTTCCAAATTCTATAAGCAATACAATGCAGTGTATCAATTCTTTTGCAGAAACCTCATGTAATTTCCTTTTAAATTCTTCAGAAATAACTTGCTCTAGAAATGTGTTCACCAACAAAAAAATGGGTTTAACCTATTACAAAATGAAATCTGGTAGTATCTTTGAGTCTGGAGTGATCTGGCTGCCTTGAAGAAAGAAACACTTAGTGTTTATCAACTTTTAGGGATCTTTATTTAGGTCCCTAAACTTTAAATCCTCCATTCTATTCGCGTCCTGAAGTTTTCCAAAGCAGCACTCAAACCACTCCCACCTCCTCCAAACTGCCTATTTCATTCAGCTGGAATGAAGTGAAACCCTCAGAGAGAAAGTAAATGGCCAGGACTTTCTGGGAATAAAAGAGAAGTCGAAGCCACATGTGTTTGGCTGTCATGAGGTCACTCTCTGGGCTGGGTACACCCTGGACCTCTTTCAGAAGTCATGCAAGTTAATTTTAGTGCTGCAGAGAGGACGGAGCGAGGCAGAAAATGTCAAGGTTACGCTTTCTGGCTGCCTTACCGTTCTGATTTCCCGGGCATCGCCAGAGAGGAAGAAGCACCCTTCGTCCCCAGCCCATCTCCTCTGGCATCCGCTGGCCTTGGGGTCGGGGGGTGAGCCGGGGGCAGCCCCGGGCGCGAGGGCTGCGAGCCTCCTGGTGCCCCGGAGCGTCAGGCTCTGGTAGAAGAGGCAGAGGGCCACCGCCAAGCCCACCACGAAGGGCCGCGGGCCACGTCGCCGGCGACAGAGGAAGCCCGGACGGCAGACCATGACCGGCTCAGCTGCGCTCGGCCCCGGTCCGCGGCGCCGGAAAAGTCATAGCAGCTCCTTCTCGTCAGCATGAAGGGGACACGTCCGCCTCCCTTCCCCGCCGCTTAGGGGACGGTTGCTCCATCCCGCTCAGCAACTTTCCGCAGAGCCACGCCAAAGAGTTAGAGGTCCCAGGAGTCGGAGACGGTTACGAAGCGCCTTTCCATGGATGACAGTTTAAAAATAAATAAATAAAAAAGTGGGCTGGCCTGGGCTAAATCATAGCGGTTTTAAAAGGACATCCAGATCATCATAGTTGTAACCAATAACCCAACTGTTGCTTCCGGCGATGCCTTATTTCCACAACATCCTCCAGCTCACAGGGACGACATCCCAGGGGAAGAGAAGGCACCCCAGGGTGCATCTGGGACCTCAAAACAGCTCCGAAGAGCACGATCGGTTAAAACGCAAAGCGCCCCGTGGCGCAGCGGGAGGGGGGGTGGAGGGGGTGAAGGGGGGCGGAGGGGGTGGAGGGGGGCGGAGGGGGTGGAGGGGGTGGAGGGGGTGGAGGGGGTGGAGGGGACTGGAGAGGGTGAAGGGGGGTGGAGGGGGGTGGAGGGGGCGGAGGAGGACGGAGGGGGGCGGAAGGGGTGGAAGGGGGCGGAGGGGGGCGGAGGGGGCGGAGGGGGGCGGTGGGGGTGGAAGGGGGCGGGCCAGCCGGCCTCAGCAGGTCCCCAGTTCTCCTCCGGCTTTAGAAGCTGCCCCGCTCTCCGCCTTCCAAGTTCCTCAACTGCTTCCCTTCATTCGGTTTCAAATCGCCCCTTCCCTGCAAGCGCCTGTGGCTTTGGACATGAACACGGAATCCACGGGGCGCACGGGCAGGGTTCCTGCTGGGGTTTTCGCCTGTTGCTTTGGGGCATTCCGTTTCAAGTGCAAAGTTCTGTGTACTTATTCGGTATTCATCCTTTCGGCCAGAAAAAAAGTTTCCACGCGCCCCAAACGGAGTGTTGATCGGAGGCACTGGGAAGGAAACACCCCGTCCGGTGACTCCCATTCATCTGACCGCGCGCGCCTGCCGCCCTCCGGCCCTCCCCGCGGGGAGCTCGGCCCGCACCCGCACCCGCACCCGCACCCGCACCCGCACCCGCACCCGCACCCGCACCCGCACCCGCACCCGCACCCCGCAGCCTGGAGGCCAGGGAACAGGGCGCGGGAAGCAGGGAGCCGGGAGCCGGGCGCGGGGCGTGGACAGCGGGGCGGGGCTGCCCTCCGGGCGCCTCCGGCCCTGGGGCAGCTCGGAGCCGCGCGCTCAGCTCTGGCTCAGACCAGGGGGGCGCCCACAGACTGGGGGCGGCGGTGCTCATTTTCCCCAAACGAGACAGCCCCCGCAGAGCTGCAGCAATTAACTGCACAATTGATGCTCCATGCCCTAGGTAACTTATTTTTCCTAAGACAATGAATGGTGCAACAACAATAGCCCTCCGTCCACTGATGACAAACGTCGAGGATCTTCACTGAGGGGGGTGTGGTCCCCTCTTTTGGGGTTAAATGGGCACAACTCCTGTCTGGACCCTGTTCAACTCCTGTTCTGGAACAGCACAGAACAACCGAGCTTTCTGCTTGGTACCTGACTCATTCACAGTTGTTGTTAGGAGTCCTGTCCTGGACGAATGCCCGAGGCCTCCGAAGGCTAATTGCTGAGGCGTCTAATGAGGAGCTGATGGGAACTGATGGGTACTGGGTAACTTTTGCTCAGTAGGAATGGTACACAGAGGCTTTGTCCATATCCAACTCTGGCTACTGCTGCTTCCACAGGCCGCCCCAAAGACACTCCCAGCCAGGCTCTCTGCAGGCTCCCTCTCCGGGTGCTGAGTCAGCGAAGGGGGCTTCAAGGAGAAAGCCATCTGTCTTGTGCTTGGTGCTCACCACTCCCTGTCCTCGCTTTTCGAAATCTGCGGTTTAGGCTCACAACAGACAGTCTCCAAAGGCTCTGGATCTAAATAGATGTTTAGATAGCCTGTTTCTAACTCCAAGTCATTGTTGGGGGCTGAGGTTCTTCTGTGAGGCCACACCCCCAGAGTGATTCCACGCTTTAGGCACGTTCCTGTCAGTTGGATTTTGTAATGCAGGGCGCCCCCTGGGGGTGCCCATTTACTATAGAATGGACATCTACAGATAGAAAACTATGTTAACATGGTTATAAAAAATTAAAATTTTAGAGAATACATATTCACAGTAAATCTAGACTTATTCCAAGTCCTTGCATATATTTCCTCCAGTGTGTTTAATACTAATTTATAGAGCCAGAGTCGTCAATCCCATGACAAATGAAGGAATAGAGAAAAATGGAATGACACTTGACTTTAGTAAGCCAAAGGTTTTGTAGAAGAAATGGCTAAACAATGAGTTTTGGAAGATCTAGTTTTGGTGGATGCTCTGTGATTGGAGACAGTGTAGGAATTATGAGATCTCTAAGCTGGAGTTGTTCTGCGTTGATGAGGTCCAGAGGGTGACAAAGTTGCTTACTAGGTGAAAGGAATGGACAGGTGCAGTTCTATTAAGTCAAAAAGTCTGGAAAACCAAGGATTTGAGGAATATCAAGGGTCATTCGTGTGTATTGTTAAATTGTTGAGTTCAGGATACAAAAGAGAGCATAAAGCAGATACTAAAATCATATTGCCGTTTGGACTAGTGGTCGGCAAACTGCGGCTCTGTTGACTAATGAGTTTGCCGATCACTGAACTAGGGAAAGTGAAAAATAGCAGCATAGATAATTTTGGAACTAGACTTCAGAAAACAGGAGTTAAAAAAGAAGGTGGGAAATTAGCATTCTAGAAATGATGCCAGCAGATTGAAAAACCCATTTTCCTATTTTACCAATAATCTGAGGGAGAAGCTAGTAGACAAAGGGATGTCTGATAGAAAAGGTTTAGTTAGAGTGGGATGGTGGAAAGAAGAAGTGGAAAGAAGTTACAGCAAAAAGTAGTACCCAACTAAGGGAATCCATAAATAGCATTTGATATTAAAGTTAACCCAACCTGAATATGGATCATGTTGCTCTTTATCAATTGTTTTCAAGCATGTGATTTATGAAATGAGGATTTATTCATGCCTCCTTTGAAGTGTTATTGGCATAACTAGATGAAATAATGTGTGAAACTCACCTAAGCACTCTGCACATTTGTTGGAAGAATACAACATGCTGAATGCCTATCTGTAATGTCTGGGATCCTGAGTCTGAGCTTGTGTGTGTGTGTGTGTGTGTGTGTGTGTGTGTCAAACACATGAACAGATAACCCTATCCTATCTAATAAAAAAGTAACATGCAAATTGACTGTATCTCTGATACACCCAGAGCCACACCCACCAACCAATCAGGAGTATGCAAATCAATCCAGCCAAGATGGCTGTAGCCCTGAAGAGAGCAGGAGGCTTGGGTTTCCCCAGCAATGAAGGAAGCCAAGCTTTCCACCTGCTCTGACCTGCCTTGGCCTCAGCTTAAGGCTACAAAGTTTCAATTATAGAAGATAAATAAATCCCAACGAAAATGGCAACAGCGATGGAGCTGGAGAGAGCAGGAGGCTTGAGTTGCCCCGGGTGATGGAGGAAGTTGAGCTCCTGCAGCCCTGGCCTGCCTTGGCCTCAGCTCAAGGCCACAAAGTTTCACTTATAGAAGATAAATAAATCCCAGACACCAGGGCCTCTGCTGGAGTCACCGGGAGCATGGCCAGCCTGAAAACCACAACAGGCCCCTCTCCCGGCCGCCCCACACCCCAAGGGAATTCCCACCCTGATCCAAGACACCTTTCAGGGCAAACTAGCCAACCCCCACCCATGCACCAGGCCTCTATCCTATCTAATAAACTAATAATATGAAAATTGATCATCATTCCAACACACAAGATGTCTGCCCAGATGTGGTCAAAGATGACTGACCCCCATGTGGACACAAGATGGCTGTCACAAGATGGCCTGCACGGGAGGGCAGTTGCTGGTGATCAGGCTGGCAGAAGAGGGAAGTTGGGGGCAATGGGGGGAGGGGGCGCCCAGGCCTGCAGGGGAGAGCAGTTAGGGATGACCAGACCTGCAGGGGAGAGCAGTTAGGAATGACCAGGCCAGCAGGGGAGGGCAGTTAGGGATGACCAGGCCAGCAGGGGAGGGCAGTTGGGTCAATCAGGCCAGCAAGGGAGCAGTTAGGTGTCGATCAGGCTGGCAGGGGAATGGTTAGGGAGTGATCAGACTGGCAGGAAGAAGCAGTTAGGGGCAATCAGGAAGGCAGGCAAGCAAGCAGTTGGGATCCACCAATCCCGGTAGAATTGGGCCTAAAGGGGCAGTGGAACATCCCTCGAGGGGTCCCAGATTGGAGAGGGTGCAGACTGGGCTGAGGGACACTTTCCTATCCTGTGCATCAATTTCATGCACTGGGCCTCTAGTATAAGTCTAATATGCAAATTGTCCCCTTGGATGGTCATTTGACCGGGAGTTTGACCACTTTCTATGATGTGTGCTGACCACCAGGGGGTGCTGCAGAACATGGCATGTGCCAGTGATACAGTGCTGGCAGAGGGCAGCAATGGAGGTGCTGCCAGCCAGTGGGCATTGATGAGAGCAGGACTGCAGCAGGATAGTGGAGCAGGTGAGCAATTGGTACCAGGACAAGGCGGGTGTGAGTGGGGGCCTGATTGCTCCACTGATCACCCCACAGACGGAGACCCGCAGCAGTGGCAGGGGATGGGTAGCTGCCTGGCTTCCAGGTGCTGAGGGAACTGGGTGGGGAGCCCAGCCATGACAGATTGCCCCACAGATGGCAACCTGCAGCTGGCAGGCTTTGATTGCTGGATCTGGGCTAGGCCCCAAGCTGGAATGGGGAGCTGGGGATGGGTGGTGGCAACCAACGTCCTGTCCTGCAACACCCAGGCGGGGAGAGGGGTGGTGGTGCTGTGGGGTGGGGGGGTGATGGGGACGGAGGTGCAGTGAGAATGTGGGGTGTCTGCTGAACTCAGTCTTATTCTCCCTGCTAC